GTGTTTAATAGCTATGTTTATAGGGGAAATCCCTCCCGGCATTCTCAGAAGAAAAACTCTTGGAATTTCTTCTATTTTAAGTTTTTCAAAAGCAATGGCATTGACTGCAGCACATAAAAGAGCACATTTATTTCATTATTTCTTTACACAATGTTTTACCAGGAAGAATGCATAGAGATTTATCTTATTTTCACATATGTCCTGGGACATGCAAATAGTACAGACTTAATTATCCACTTGTGTCTGTTAACATTTGTAATAGTTTGCTATTATTTTCTTTTTTTACCTGCATTGTAAAATTATAATGCACTATGGAATGTGCTGGAGCTATGCTATGATTGATAAAAATAACACAAGGCTAAACATTTCAAATAAACAAAACATAAATAATCATTAACACTTGCTACAGGCAGGGCTGCCATCAGAAATTTTGAGGCCCCTAACAAAGCACAAGGTCTGACCCCTAAGGGGCCCGCCTTCAAGCCCGCCAAAAGGGCCCACCTCATAGTCCGCCCTCAAGTATATGCGTGCTTTAAATGTAGTGTTTGTATTTGTATATTGGATGCAGTGTGTGTAAAGTGGACAAGGTGTGTGTTAGTGCATGTATAGTGGATGCAGTGTGTGTGTATTGTGTATGTAAATATATATATATATATATATATGCATTCAAACACAATGTGTGTTTTAATGTAAGCATGTTTTTGTAAAGAGTATGTGTGTTAATGTTGGTATTGTGAATGCAGGCATGCATTTTTGTGTAGTGTATACACTAAAACACCCACACTAATACACACACACATATACACAGACACACACACTAACACACATGCAGATACACACAGATACACACTGACACCCCAATACACATGCGGACACACAGATACACAGACACTCAGACACACTGATACATGTTACACACACAATGACACAGTTACACACACAGATACAAACACATACACCCACACTGACACACACAGATACACACACAAACACAGATACACACACTGACAGAAAAGGACACACATATACATACAAACAGATACACACACTCAGGGCCGGACTGGCCCACCGGGATAACAGGAAATTTCCCGGTGGGCCGTCGGCACCTGGGGCCGGGCAGACACCTGGGTCTGCTGTCGGCCGCTGGGGGACTTGTCCTGGTGGCCGCTGTGGGAGCTGCGCCGGCTCTGCTCCCCAGCACGCAGCTGAATGAGGCCGGCGCCGGAATATGATGTCATATTCCGGCGCCGGTCTCATTCAGCAGCGCACGAGGGCGGGAGAGCAGAGCCGGCGCAGCTCCCACAGCGGCCACCAGGACAAGTCCCCCAGCGGCCGCCAGAAGACCTCCCAGCGGCCGACAGAAGACCTCCCAGCGGTAAAAGTTCCCCAGCGGCCCCCAGAAGACCTCCCCCTGGCAGGTATTAGTAATGTGTCTGTCTGTCTGTGTTATCATGTCTGTCTGTATGGTGTGTGTCTGTCTGTGTCATGGTGTCTGTCTGTATGGTGTGTGTGTGTGTGTGTGTGTCTGTCTGTGTCATGGTGTCTGTCTGTCTGTATGGTGTGTGTATGTCTGTCTGTGTCATGGTGTCTGTCTGTCTGGTGTGTGTGTGTCTGTCTGTCTGTGTCATGGTGTCTGTCTGTATGTATGGTGTGTGTGTGTCTGTCTGTCTGTGTCATGGTGTCTGTCTGTATGTATGGTGTGTGTGTCTGTCTGTCTGTGTCATGGTGTATGTCTGTCTGTCTGTATGGTGTGTGTGTCTGTCTGTGTCATGGTGTCTGTCTGTATGGTGTGTGTGTGTGTGTGCGTGTCTGTCTGTGTCATGGTGTCTGTATGTATGGTTTGTGTGTGTCTGTATGTATGGTATGTGTGTGTCTGTCTGTGTCATGGTGTCTGTCCGTCATGGTGTGTGTGTGTGACTGTCCGTCATGGGGTGTGTGTGTGTGTCTCTGTCCGTCATGGGGTGTGTGTGTCTGTCTCTGTCCGTCATGGAGTGTGTGTGTCTGTCTGTCCGTCATGGGGCGTGTGTGTGTCTGTCTGTCCGTCATCGGGTGGGTGTGTGTGTCTATCTGTCCGTCATGGGGTGTGTGTCTGTCTGTCCGTCATGGGGTTTGTGTGTGTCTGTCTGTCCGTCATGGGGTGTGTGTCTGTGTCATGGTGTGTGTGTCTGTCTGTCCATCATGGTGTGTGTGTTTGTGTGTCTGTCATGGGGTGTGTATCTGTCATGGTATATGTGTGTTTCTGTGTCTGTCATGGTGTAAATGTGTGTTTAAAAATAGTGTTTTTGCTCACCTTTTTTTTTCCCCCATGCAGCGTGCTGGTCTCCCCTTGACTGGCCCTGCCTCTATAGCTGAGATCATCAAGCTTGATGATCTCAGCCAATCCAATGCTTTGCCATAGGATTGGCTGCAAAATGCCACTCCAATCAGCATCTCCTCACAGAGATGCATTGAATCAATGTATCTCTATGGGGAACGTTCAGCACCTACAGAGTGTGGAGGCCCTGAATGTAGGTGCACTGACACAGGAAGCACCTCTAGTGACCGTCTTAGTGACTGTCACTAGCAGTGTCACTTTGAAGCAAAAACAGTGTTTACGTTGAAAAGCCTGTAGGGACATGCTATAGACACCAGGACCACCACATTAAGCTGTGTGTGTGCGTCTGCTAGTGAGTGAGCTTGCTTGCATGCGTGTGCCTGCTAGTGAGTGAGCTTGTGTTTTTATGTCAATGAGCTGATGTATATCACTAAGATTGTTTGGCTGTGTATCAGTGAGCTTGTGTGTGTCATTGAAATGTCAGTGAAATTGCCTGTGTCTGCATGTGAGTATGCTTACTGTATAATTAAATGTTTTACCCTGAAATGACCAATATTTTATATTAGAAAAAGCAATATATATATATAAATCAATCATCTGTCCTGGCAAGACATAGCCTTACATATTACACGCGACAATATATGGCGCAGTGACTTATGGGGCTGGCACAAATTTTTTTTCCAGGGCTGCTTTGTATCCCCAGTCCAGCCCTGAACACACTGACACACAGATACAAAAACAGACATTCTGACACACAGACAAACTGATACGCAGATACACACATACTGATACACATACTCACATACATACTGACACACAGAAAAAAAATACTGACACAGACACACATACAGACACACAGACATGCATACGGATATACACACACATGGAAGTAATTTTTTTTGCCATCCTCCTGTTACTTACATTTTGGGTACAGGAGGGTGGCTGGGGCTGATGGGAGTCGGTCTGGCAGCTGGCTTTCACCTCCTCACTGTCTCTGCTCTGCCTTCCTCCCATGCAGAGTAAGATGGGAGGAAGTGACCGGCAGTCACTTCCTCCCACACGGTCTGTGACTGCCATTTTTTAAAGGGGCCGGTCGTGCTATTAAAAGGCCGCGGCGCTGACAGGGCCTTTGAAGACATATGCTCATCATTTTTTTTACCACTATTCTACAGTTGTGTGCATCAGTATGACATTTTATTTTGAGGTGTAGATGTATAACTACATCCTTGTAGTCAAGGATTGACATTAACATGCGTTGCACTTTATAATTGAAAATCTGTTGCTGGTGCAATCCACCTTTTAGTGCATGATCAATGAAAGGATACACAAATTTAAGTTAACTCTGGCTCACTCAAGATCATAGGCGTGCGCATGGGGTGTGCCGGGTGTGCCTGGGCACACCCTAATCCCCGTGGCACGCCTATGGTTTGAGTCCTGCAGGAACAGCGTTCCTGCACTCAGCGCCCCCTGTCTCACCTCTTGCCCCCCCTCTTTCCAGCTCAGCCGCGCTGCGCGCTGATGCCGGGAGCCGGAATATGACGTCATATTCCGGCTCCCAGCTACAGCGGACAGCCCGGCGGCGAGAGGGAGAAGAGAGCAGACAGCAGACAGCTCCCTCGCCGCGCGCTGAGCTGCAGAGAGGCGCCCGCCCCACTGGACCCCAGGGACAAGTCCACGCCAGCACTCCAGGTAGGAGGCTGGGTGGACATTTTTTTTCTTGTTAAAATATAATAATTTGTTCTTGTGTGTATGTGTGTGAGTGTGTCTGTGTGTGAGTGTGTGTCTGTGTGTCTGTGTGTGAGTGTGTGTGTGAGTGTGTTTCTGTGAGTGTATGTGTTTGTGTGAGAGTGTGTCTGTGTGTGTGTGAGTGTGTGTCTGTGAGTGTATCTGTGTGTGTGTCTGTGAGTGTATGTGTGTGTGTGAGTGTGTGTCTGTGAGTGTGTCTGTGTGAGTGTGTCTGTGAGTGTATGTATGTGTGTGTGTGTCTGAATGTGTCTGTGAGTGTGTGTGTGTACGCATATATATATATATATATATATATATATATATATATATATACACACACACACACACACGCAGAGCCGGCGCTATCTGAGTGCCGGCTCTGCTCTAAGCCTCCATGGGCCAGCGGGGAGACCAAAGATCTACCTCACCGGCCCACAGCAGCATGGAGGGAGGCAGGAGAGGACCCAGGGAGCTCTAGACAGAAGCTCCGCCAGGTTCCTCTCGCGATATGAGCGTTGCTGCGGCAACGCTCAGATCTCGCGAGAGTTAACTCTAGCCCCACAGGCTATAGTTCACTCTCCACTGGACCACCAGGGATGGCACATGGCAGCAAGGATTTACTAATCTGCCAAATCCCTCCAAACATACAGCACACACACATACAGCACCTACACACATACTGCTCACACACACACAGTGCACTAACCGCACCCTCACAAAAACACACAGCACCTTTAAAAAAAACACAACACCCTCACACACAGCATACTAACAGCACCCTCACAAACACACACACAAACAGCACCCTCACAAATACACAACACTCACACAAACAGCACCCTCACAGGACAAACATACACACACAAATACCCTCACACACAAACAGCACAGTCACAAACACACACACACACACACGCACCCTCACACACACATCACACTAACAGCACACAGCACACACAGCAGTGTATGTGTGTGTGTGTGTGTGTGTATATATATATATATATATATATATATATATACATATACATATATAGATACATACACACACACACACACACACACACACACACGCGGCGTGTGTTTGTGGTTTAGGGTGCACACCCTAATGCAATAGGCTGCGCACGCCTATGCTCAAGATGAATTTAGATTGTAAGCTCATTTAGGCAGGGCCTTCGTACTGTACCAGTATGTCTATAATGCTTTGAAAGAATTTAGTGTATAACTTATTTACCTATTGTACAGTGCTGGAGAATATATTAACTATTTAAATAATTGTAATTTGTATTTCCATTCCACTAAGCAGCACACCTAGAATTGTGAAAGTGATGTTGTTAAATCAGTTCTCAAGGACCAATTGCTAACAATGATTCATTCATAACCAATTTGTGTTAAACAGGGATCCTTAAAAAAGTTGTGCCATTGATGGACCGTAACGACTGCTTTTAAGAACACCATTCTAAAATGTGATGATACAATTGTAGAATGTTTGTTTTAGCGCTAGATGTTTCCCTAGTTCCAATTCTATTCTACTGAATCTCACTTCTGTGCTTAAAAAGCACTCAGATTACTATACTTAATTCAACTCATTTTATTGTCAAACTGTTTTTAAATGGTTTAAAAAAACAAGTGTCTCCCAGCACATTTAGCAAGATGCCTCTATTGAGACCAAAATAACATGGCCATGTCACTTCTGCATTATTTGTACAATATCCATCCAAATGTACTAAGTTGCTAGACTGCACCCTCACCAGGGCTTTAAGGCTATCATTCCTAATCTAAATTTAATTGTAAACAGGATTGTGTATTAACCTAATTTGCATATTGATATTGTTTAGCTGCAGAGTCAGCAATGTGTGCCACTGAAGGAGTTAAAGTCTTTAAAATTATCATCAAGAAATCTGACATGTAGGATTTATAACAACTTTGTCTATTGTATAGATGTTTTTTCTCTGTCTTTGTAACAAATTTGAAATAGATCAATAAATAATAAAAAAGAACAAATAAATAAAGTATTTACAATGAGATATTAGATAAATAACTCGTCTGAGATGTGAAGTTTTGGTCCTATATGACTTCACTATACTTACAGTGGGCATTTTATCTATGTCTACTTTTCCTAGCCATAAACTTAATCATACATGGATTTAGTTTGGAACATTAATTAGGGTAAGATGTGAGTAGCAAACTATATAGTATTGTATAATCTGATGCAGAATTATCAACATCATTATTTCTATAGCAATATCATATTCAGCAGTGCTTTAGAATATTATAAAGGGGGAAATTTAACACTAGATAAGACAATTACAAAATGTTACAGGAACAACAGATCAATGAAGACCCTGCTTACAATCTAGAAAATATATAATCTACGTGTTACTTTAAAAATACAGTACACATTTTTTTTTTTATTATCTGAGTCCCTTCAAGCACTAGATGCTATGGTAGGAGTATATATTCTGTAAAACCAGAAACAGCTTTTCTCCTGCAACTGCTCAAAAAATGAGCAATATTTAGCTTATCGATTGTTCAACTTGTGATTTCCAAGTAATGAAAAAAGCCAGAGGCTCTAAAGCAAATTTAGACCAGATACGTGCAAAGAAAAAAAAAAAAAGAGTAAAGCAAAACTCCACAAATTCTAAGAAATTTGGCAATCACTGACATAATGTTGAGATCTCTTTGAAGCAAACGTAGTTAACTGATTCTAAATTAATCAGAAAGGAGAATGTTATGATTATTTGTCTAAGAGTCCTACACATCTGGACATCTGTGATGTTGGCTTCAAATCAAAACACTACCCCATCTCTTAATGTTCTTCTTCCCTATTGTCCTCCATTGTTTAGTCCCTCAACCCACCTCCTCTTTTATCCTTCCTTGGATATTTAAATATACATTTTTGTGAGCATCCTAGCCATTTATTATAATTTTTAAACAACATGTTCTTCCCTTGTTTATCGTTAAATTATCTGTTTTATTCAAAAACATTGAAAGCTGTACTTCTCTCATTTTGTCTTGGAGTGATGTGGGAACAATCAATGAAAATCGATTCAAACTACGTTATGATTAACATAAAAGAAAGGAAGAAAATAATCATGGGAAATTAAAAGCGTTTTAATGAAGACAGGCTTTCAAATTATTATCAATAGTTTTACTCTAGTAGAGAGAGGCCAACAGCATCTAAATACAAATATAATCAGGGTTTACAAAAACCTTTGGAGGTCTATCATATATTTTGTGTTGATATTCTCTCTGGAATTTTCTTCCCAAATTATTGTGTATGTTGATGAAAGGAGAAATCTGATTATGGAGTCTAGAAGGAATTTTCTTCCCTATTTTCATGGCATAATTCCCCATTGCTACAAATTATTATTTTTTTTCTATTGCCTTCTTATGGATGAAGAGCATAAAATGATGTGTTTAAAAGTTGAACTTGATGGTCTAGAGCAGGCGTGTCCAACCTGTGGCCCACATGCAGCCTGGGACCGCTAGTATTGCAGCCTGGTTGTCATCTGGGCTGCCAGAAGGCAGGGAGCCCTTTACATACTGTGCTACTCCTGCACAGCTTCCCAGCATGCCTTGCAGTGAGCCTGCAGCTAGGGTATGAAGTCATTCCGGCATCGGCATCACTACTGGGCGCGTGAGGGAAGTGTGGAGGAAAAGTACAGAGTTCCAAGCCCAGCAGCACCAGGGACCAAGGATCCACTCCGGCCCTCCTTGAGCAAATGAAAGACGCTGCGTGGATCTCTTAAGTACTAAATGTAGATGAATGATTGTGTGTGTGTGTATGTCTGTGACTGTGTATATGTCTGTGATTGTATGTGTTTGTGTCGGTCTGTGATTGTATGTGTATTCCTGTGTGTGTACATCTGTGATTATGTGTGAGTATGGACAGTATCTCACAAAAGTGAGTACACCCCTCACTTTTTTGTAAAAATGTTATTATATATTTTCATGTGACAACACTGAAAAATAATGCTATGCTACAATGTAATGTAGTAATTGTACAGCCTGTATAGCAGTGTAAATTTGCTGTCCCCTCAAAATAACTCAACACACAGCCATTAACAGCTAAACCATTGGCAACAAAAGTGAGTACACCCCTAAGTGGAAATGTCCAAATTAGGCCCAATAAGCCATTTTCCCTACCCGATGTCATGTGACTCGTTAGTGTTACAAGGTCTCAGGTGTGAATGGGGAGCAGGTGCGTTAAATTTGGTGTGTGGCACTCTCACACTCTTATATTGGTCACTGGAAGTTCAACATGGCACCTCATGGCTAAGAACTTTATGAGGATCTGAAAAAAAGATATGTTGCTCTACATAAAGATAGCCTAGGCTATAAGAAGATTGCCAAGACACTGAAACTGAGCTGCAGCACGGTGGGCAAGACCATACAGTGGTTTCACAGGACAGGTACCACTCAGAACAGGCCTTGCCATGGTCGACCAAAGAAGTTGAGTGCACGTGCTCAGCGTAATTTCCAGAGGTTGTCTTTGGGAAATAGACGTATGAGTGCTGCCAGCATTGCTGCAGAGGTTGAAGGGGTGGGATGTCAGCCTGTCAGTGCTCAGACCATATGCCTCACACTGCATCAAATTAGTCTGAATGACCTATCACCTAATCACCACAGACCGCAAACCAGGTCAACAGACAAAGCACACCGCGAAGGACGGACAGAGACAATTGAAAAAGACTATGCCCCAGCCAACAGACATCCACAGGACCTTTTTGTGACCACTAACCGGGGTACACCTCCACACCACCTCACCCTTAGATGACCTAGAGTCTACCTCCGAATCAAGGACACAGGTACCCACGGGCGAAATATACTCTAAACCACTGTCCCACTGGGGGACTCACCACCCTCATACCAAAAGAGGCAAATGTGCATGTCTGAAATTCCGGTAATGTAAAGGTGAACGTACAACTGTGGCAATTACCCTGCACTAATCCCCCTCTTCTTTCTGTATATCCGCTATAACTCACACTAAACGCAAAATAAAGTCTGAAAATAATAATAATAAAAAAAAAATTCCTGCCAGACAAGCATATTATGTACCGATCATTTAGACAGGAACACTTAATATGTATATGTTGTTCTATAAATATTGTGCTGTTTTTTTTCACATGCTAACCAACTGTTACCGTATGTTTTGTCATAGACTTGTCAATGCTGTTGGGGCATGACAAGCTCACGTGTTGTATTCCCATGCACTCCAAAAATAAAGAATAAAAAAAAAAAAATTAGTCTGCATGGCTGTCGTCCCAGAAGGAAGCCTCTTCTAAAGATGATGTACAAAAAAAACCCCGCAAACAGTTTGCTGAAGACAATCAGACAAAGGACATGGATTACTGGAACCATGTCCTGTGGTTCGATGAGACCTTAACCAGGTGAGGAGTACAAAGACAAGTGTGTCTTGCCTACAGTCAGGCATAGTGGTGGGAGTGTCATGGTCTGGGCCTCCATGAGTGCCGGCACTGGGAGCTACAGTTCATTGAGGGAACCATGAATGCCAACATGTACTGTGACATACTGAAGGAGAGCATAATCCCCTCCCTTCAGAGACTGGGCCGCAGGACAGTATTCCAACATTATAACGACCCCAAACACACCCCCAAGACACTGCCTTGCTAAAGAAGTTAAAGGTAAAGGTTATGGACTGGCCAAGCATGTCTCTAGACCTAAAGCCTATTGAGCATCTGTGGGGCATCCTTAAATGGAAGGTATGGGAAAGCACGGTCTCTAACATCCACCAGCTCCGTGATGTCATCATGGAGGAGTGGAAGAGGATTCCAATGGCAACCTGTGAAGCTCTCGTGAACTCCATGCCCATGAGGGTTAAGGCAGTGCTGGAAAATAATGGTGGCCACACAAAATATTGACACTTTGGTCCCAACTTGGACATTACCATTTAGGGGTGTACTCACTTTTGTTGCCAACGGTTTAGACATTAATGGCTGTTATTTTGAGGGGACAGCAAATTTACACTGTTATACAGGCTGTACACTTACTACTTTACATTGTAGCAGAGTGTAATTTCTTCAGTGTTGTCACATGAAAATATATA